TAATTTGATTTTAGTCAGGAGTTTGGTATACCTCATATTTTGAATTATCTTATATTGCAGGCTAAAGGAAGTTTTTCTTTCACATCTACTCGTATACTTAACTATGAAGTTCGAAAATATCGATAAAATCGATATAATAATAACAATAATAACAGTATATAGTTCAGTTTCAAAAAATATTATTGTCAAAATTGTAATTAGTAGTTATCGCTAAAAAATTATTCGGTACTATATATGCTTAAACATATTATGCTTGAAATTAATCTAATTTCTTCAGGTTCATTAGGAATTTGCAGCCGTTAAACAACATGGCGAAAAGCGAAATGAAAAATACAATATGTTTTTAAGACAGTTACATACTGAAATTTAACTTTAGTAGTTAATTTGACAGACTGTTTTTATAATTTATGAAAACTGTATAAACATAAAAAATCTGAATTTTTGTCTTTCTACTTGTCGTAGTCAACTCATTAGTTTTATTAATAAATATTTCAGTTCAACGCACTGACTTAAAATAAATTAATTCAAAGTTATCAAATGGGATGCTTTGTAAAGCGGACTTCGCCAACAAGCAGTGTGAATTTTTGACCAGTTGAGCTCTTTCTCTGAATAATTTTAGTAAAACATGTGATTATAACCAAAGACGGGTTTCCAGCAACTTTGATGTTATTTATAACTTTGGATTAACAAAAAAGTTTAAAAAAATTATCCTGAGTTCTCTTGTCTCTTAAAAAATGTTCTTATTAATTTGAGATAAAATTGCGTCATCTAATCGCGTCTTAAAATTAGAAATTTTAATCAAACAATAACTCAGCAGTTTTGGGTACTTACTACTTTTATATAAATAAATTTTATCAAATAATTTAATAAGTGTCTACATCTCATTGGAATTAATTTTTGTAATTTACGTGATCGATTCTGACAACGTTCATAATTTTCAAAAATGTTCGATGCACGAACTGCAGTATAATTTTACATATAATTTGGAATAATTGGAATTGCAAGAACAAACTATATAATAAATTAGGTATTACTTATAAAAGGCTATGGCAGATCTACCTACTTATAAAATGCGTTATTCGTTTAGTCAAAAAACGAAAAGACTAAAGATTTATACTAACCGAATTAAAAAAAAAAACAAACAATATTATTTGACACAGATATACATTAAGTTTTATGGTTTCCTTTCCAAAAAATACGAGTATAGCGTGGTCAAAAACTTCTGTAAAATGTCATAGTAAAACAATATAAAATGAACTAGGTGGTACCTCTCCAGTTCTATGCAAAACCGAAATAGTGATAAACTGTGGATAAAATTTCGACGCAAATGAAACATAATCAATTAATCAATCAGATTGTAGATAAAGCAGTCTTTGTTAGATTTCTTTGAATATACAATTTATAATTCGCCTCAAAATAGTAAACACTCTACACATAAACGGATACGTTGTTAAAATCACATCTCGACATATGAAACAATATTATTGCGATTAATGTAATTTTATAGTAAAACGTCAGCAATTCTATTTTTTATGTACCCCAAAGTTTCAATTATGATTTCCTAATATGTATTGGTTCAAGATATAAAAAATAAAAATATCTTTTTCTAAAGAAAGGTGTTAAATAGTCTTTAAATATGTTTAAGCTTTACAATACAAGTCAACTAAAAGTCATTTCCCTTATCACATAATGAGGCAACGTCGGATTATGCTTCTATTTCCTCTTGCAATCTTTATTTTTCTGTCAAAAACCTGTTGGCGCACAACAAAATGTACCTAGTCGTTGTGCAACCGTATTGTTTCTTTTGAATTGAGAACATTATGTAGCATTTTTCATAATCTTTGTAAATATGAACTTATTTTACGTTTCAAGTATAATTTCTTAAAACCATTTAGACAAGATGAAAACAATAAACTTAAATGGCACAACTTCAAGACAAGGCAAAAGATTTACACATTCGATGATATTCCATCTGATAAATAAAATCAAACAAATTATTTTCCAGAAACATTATGAAAAGTAAAGAAACGTGTGCAACTATAGCATAACCACTCGAGGAGAGACACTGAGTCAAGCCTAATGTTTACAGTAAACTATCGTCGGTATGTTTAAATTACAAAATTTTCGAGCTACTCTGTCTTGCCCTTCTATGGAATCTCTAACCAAAAAAGAAGAAGAAAAAAGATTTTTGTAAAGGATTTCGATGTTTTTCCCACTTGGGTAAGGGGAATCTTCAGAAAATTTCAGACAAGATTTACCTCCACTACCGTTCTTTTCCCTCCCGAACTCTTTTTCTTCTTCTTCTTCTATTATTATCTTTTGTTTCCTGAAGATTTTCTTTACGGAAACATCGAAGTCATTTTTCGTTTTCAAAATTAGCATGGTCTAAACGCAGAAAACGTCTTTCTAATAATATTTTCAATTTGACAGCTATTCAACTTGATTTACCTTTTTAAATATTTAGTTGTGTACTTTTTTTTTGTTATAAACTCCCCAAAAATAACTAAAAAACTCGACGATTGTTCTTTATTTAGTAAAATTTAGTAGAAAATCCAGAATGTGTGATATTTACGGACCGCGAATCTTATAGCGGTGTGTTTTTGCAATAATTTATTAACTAATCCAACTGTTAGTTTAATGAAATATTCCCATTAGTGAAGGCATTATTACAATAATTTGCGAATAATAATCGATAAGAACTTTATTACTGTACTTTAAGGGATTATTTCTTATTAAATTCAACCTTCGAATTTTTTATTTAATATCAATTATGTTGAAATCTAAATAGTGCTATCTACGAATCCAGAACAAATTTATTTATCTGTTATTGATAATAAGCACCTGTTATCTGTTTTGAAATAATTTTCTTCCACAATTCAAATACGACATGGTTTCAGTGTTAAATCATAAAAAATAGTTTTTTATGTTGATTTATTGGCGACGTGAGTCGGTTTACAATAGATAAACTATACTTGGAATACCTATGCAGTTCAGATAAACAATAGGTACTCTCCATCTTAAAAAAAATATTTTTTTAGTTTATGCTTGTTTAAACAGCCATAAAATGATAAGATTAGGCAATTAATTTTACGACGAAAATTCATGTCGGAGGGCATCAAGGCTTAATTATTTTTTGATCCTGGTTTTGACATCTAAATTTAGTGCTTATTGTAATAAGTAGAGAAGATACTGTAGAATCTCAGACGATGTTATCTACTAAAAGCTACCTTGAAACAATTTCGTAAAATTATGGAATTTACTTTTCCGTTAAGTAGAACTGGAGGGGTGGCATGGGAGCATGTGGCATATGCGGGCATGCAGAGGATCGCATAGCGAGAGGGTGAATGTATTAGAGTCTATATCAGACTCTGACCACTGACCACCCTGTCAGTCTCAAACTCAACTCGATCTAAGAACGACTATTAAAATGATCGGAAAGCCGGCGCGAAAACATCCCTTCCGTGACTTTTCAACTAGTTAAAAAACAAGTGAACTAGCATGTACCGCCTCATGTTTTTCTTGCCCATAATGCTGATCACGAGTGCTTTAATCTACTTGACGATTACCTACTTACTCTTATTTATAATATAGTATTGAAGTTTTTTTCACACGTGTTTATTTTATTACTTATCAGAGTTCTTATCGATATCGTACTTAATTATAGCTATCTTAACGTACATATAGTAAATATTTCTTTTAAATATTCAGTTAATCAGAATATCTTCATCAGCATGACATCTTTATTATCACTGACGAATATGCCGCACAGAAACTATTTTGACTTTTTCAACTTTGGGATCGTACCAAATATTAATCATCTGAGTAAGTACCTTTGCTAATTATAAGTGTATTTTTTTATTATTTTTTTTGTGATTATGAGATGTTAGCAATTTATTTAGTGGTAGATTCTGCGTTTGAAAGCTGGTTAATCACCACGAAAATCAAACAATAAATTGTCTGACCAATTATCAACGATTATTGGCTATTTCTAGATCGTTAATTTTTTTTATTGGGGAGCACCAGTCATTTAATAAATTAATAACTTGGCTAATGCTTGCCATTAATTTGGAAAATAATATGTCTCATTCCTCCACTTATTAAATGTAACAACCGTTAAATTATTTGCTACCGAAGGAAATGACAAACACAGATTTTTCGTAATTAGTTTTATTTCGGCTGCGACAGAAGAATTTCCCGCCTCACCAAACAATTTCACAACAATTTGCATCACTTTTTGTTTGATTTAATTATGCTCGATCCCATAATTAATTATACTCGGATAATTATCGTAACACGTAATTAAGACAGTGCTATCCGCATTAACATAATTTAAGCTTTATTTCCAATTTAAATTCAGAAAGTCCAGACTTGATGAAATTAACAGTCGTCTTCGGTAAGTCATGAAACCGAATAAACACAAATAGAGTCGTAGACCAGGATATATGCAAAAGCCTGGCTAAGGGTGAAAAATAATAGCGTGGGGTCAGCCGCCTCGTGGGAGTCGTAAGAAGTAAACTATCCGAGACGCCTTAGATAGACATTTCGGCCGCAAAAGCTCTCCTTATGTCTCCACATTTATAAATAAAACACACACCAATGTATATTTATATCGAACAACCCAATATACATGAAATTTACTTACTTCCAAAGATTGGATTGTTACCGCTAACTTAATTATCGGGAGCAGTTGCAAAGGGCATGCATGTATCAGATAATTGAGTTTTGAATTTTTGAATATTCTGCGGTGGATTGAATGCATTCTACTGATGAACATTTAAATATTTATGATGCGTAGATATATTCATACAGCCCTCACGCGATATTTCATAAAACATTGGATTATTTGCTTCCACATGCAAATACCATAGTCATATCGAATTTTAAAAAAAGATGACACAAGTATAATCCTTCTTGGAATTATCATTATTTGAATATTTTTTTAATCTTATTTGCTTTGCCTTTATCATTGATGAGTAATGTAAATTGGAAACTTTTTCCAGGTGAGCAACGCTCGATAACGCGAATGGATAAGACGCCTTCGACGCCGCCCTCCAACGATGGTAAGCAATGTTGCCCTTCTAATTACCGAATCTCACTAATTAATTGCTGTTTTATTGCCGCAGTCAAGAATAGTATCATTAGTAGCTCTTACCTGAGAATAAAATTGATCACACTTAAGTCGGCTAGACGGCCAAATTAAAAAGTCCGTCCAGTCCATATAATAGCGAAAAATACTCAGCTTCTGTTCTTACTAATGTATAATTTTATATTTTTTACCGGGAACTACTTTGGTTAATGCAGGAACCTAACGAGCTTTTATGAAGATTTCAATTTTAATGACTATCACTTTGTCCTTTCCCACCCTCATTAAAATATTTTTATTGTTCTTCGAAGGCCACACGCATGCAGGCGTCAACTCTTTACCTAGTCTTATTGAATAGGGAAAGGCATTTGTCGCAATAAAACCGACCCTAAGGAAATATTATGCGTATAAAAAACCCTAAGTAGTGTTTAACCCTTTTTAATAAAGAAGATGGCCACGTGCTGGGGGTTATGCGACACGTGCCACGGCTTGTTGAATTATAAAAGATCCCTCCGTGCCTCCGTCCAAATTAAATGCCTGTTGACGTTTCAATAAATAAATTTTTCGAAAAAAATCAAAATGCCATATGGCAACGCGATAATCGATTCCCGGACATTTCATGGATTAACGGTCTGCTCTTTATTCCTTCACTACACTTTTACACCCTTTTCCCGGTTAAAATGCACCCTCGCCGCCCTTAAATGTTGTTTGATCGAATAGTGTTGAAACACGATCCGTTATGATTGATTGATGATCAGAAAGCTCCAGCGTGTCTTTCATCTCTAAGCTCCTCTAACTGGTCCAATTACTTTTTAATGTGTGATTTTCTCTGTATTATCACACTTATATAACTCCCAATTAATTACGAGCTTTTCTCGCACCGTCGACGATTCGGTTCGCTCGAAAGCTCTAGTCAAATCCTGCCACTATCACGCCAAGCTTTCACATAATGTGGCAGTATACTTTTATTGTGCTCTCTGTTTTGTTATTCAAAGAGTTTTACGAATGCGATCTGAATATATTTTCAGATTTTTATACTGTCCATTCAGATTCGGGCTTTTTTCAGGTGTCGTGCGAAATTTCCTTACTAAATTATTACCGAACTCGTCCGTTCCGCACATATATTCAAATCACGTATCTTCAACTTAAAATCAAACCCTATTTTACATAGCCAGTGACGCAAAAATTCTTCATCCGCACTATTTAAATGCTACTAGGGAGGCCGACCAAGCCTATCTGAATATGCCTATTTTATATTCGATTCATGTACTCAACTTCGATTCTATAAAAACTGAAAAACGCCGAACAGGACCGAGGAAGCGCTAAAATTACTAGAGCAAGTATGACGCAAGTACCTTCGTAAACTTTGTACATCTCTCATAAAAACGGACTAAGCTTTGAGCGCTGATAATAATTACTACGAAACAATTTATTTATATAAACGAACAGGAATAATTTTAAGTGAAATGACACATTTATCTTATAAATAATACGAGTATAACTAATACTTAATATTATCTGATCATCCGATACGAAGATTGACGTCCATAATTTACAAATTCCGACATGGACAATGGACGTAATACTATATTGTATTTAAATAAGTAAAGTAAAATTATACTTAATGTAATTACAATTTAGATTTGACGTGCAAAATTCAAAACCTTTTGTCTTTAGATGCGCTCATAATTTTTACCATGGTCCACCAATTGTAGCGTAATTATATATTCATGATAGACTACACACATTTTGTATGTATAACTTACATATTTTAAAATAGTTATTTTCCATTCCTTTCAAAAATTTTCATTTCGATTTTTATAACAAATTGATGTTACCAAACAAATTTTCTTTTTCAATTTCTGATATATTTTTTCAAAAAGTATACATTTCAAAATGGAAGATTTTTTTAGTCCAAAAATATTCACGTGGATCAATCCATTTATTCCTTAACTGCTATAGGACAATATTGAGAAAATAGGAAAAATAGAAAACAGTTTGAATCGCTTTAATCCTTGTTACGTTCCTTCAATAAAATAATTTTTGTCTTAAAAATTATTAAATTATGATCACTATTTTCAATAGATGTCACGTAGTTATTAGTGTCAATCAGATTATCATTATAACAATACGAAATTTTTATTATTCACTTAATCTAATTTATTAAGTTATTGGATTATAGTATTTTTTACAGATAATAATGAAATAAGATACGCTTATTTTGACGGGTTATTATGCTTGTGAACAACGTATTTTCTTTTTGATGAATTTATCTCAGAATAGTATTTAAAATGTTGAATATCACATTTAAACAAATTAATTATTAATTAAAATGAGGGAATAATATTTGACTTGACAAATCCTAACAGTAAGTGATCCTTCTTTATAAAGAAATCACTAGGAAATGACCAATGAATCTGGCACTAGACGTAGATCAAGTGATTAAGACATAGTACACGCTTCAACAGAACCAATAAAGCTACTATATTCTTTATCAAGAAGTTATGAACATTAAAAAAATAGTTGAACTTAAAAGACTTGCTGTTAATTTTTATTGGTCAATTTTCCATTGTACTTGAGATAATCACACTTAGAGATAAGATTTAAAATTCTAACAATTACTAATTAATCTTATTAATTTATTGTAGCAATCTTTTTATATTCAACAATACTAAAAGTATTACAAATATTTCAAGATAAAACTTAAGTGACTCACTTAAGATTCGTGTATATCAAAAAAATAAAATTCTTCAGCTGACGACTATAAAACATTTTGTTCACATCCTTCCGCCAGCTCAAAAACCACCATAAAACTTCTAATTACCTGCGACAAAAATTATCAAGCGGCTGCAGTCATGTCTCATGTATATTGGAGTAATTCGTGCAGAACACGTGATTAAAAAGTTAGTTGCAGTTATCCGCACGTCGAGCGGTTTAAAAAAAATTAATCCGTTCTAAAATGGCGCACGCCGGCTTAAAGGGTGATGTTTAAAAGGGTTCATTGTGAATTTTGATTGGGTGACGTGGTGGTAACAAAGCGGTCACATTTTAACATATCAGGGGTTGCTTGCGTTAACAACAATGTCAGACCCGAGGGACGCCTCATCAATCTTGAGGTGACGTAGCAATATTTTGATGCCCTACAACCCTTAACACGCGTTAACACTGCATGGCATTAACATAGTTTTCCTCAAATCTTACTTCGTTGCTTTGTAAATAGAAGTTTACGTTCAAATAATGCTTGCTGTGGGTAGCGAAGGAAGATTTTCATTACATACGAAACGAAAAAAGTAAATTCTCGTATAAATTGACTTTATTTGTAAGAGAACAAGTTTTAGACGAGAATACGTATTGTTATCTGAGATATTTTACCGTTTCAACACATGATAATGTACTATATTTTTGTCTGTGGAGTCATTTACTACAGATATTTTAACCATACCATTCGCAAGCTCTGCGGAGATAAAACCTGGAAAGCAAAATTGATATTTATTTTACAAAATGCACAAAAAACAAAACAATGGATTTCTAAACGTGAATTTAATAAAAACACGATATACAGTAAGAGAAAAGTTGGTTTTTAATGTGTGATACTTAGTTTACACTCTTTTTCGTGTCAAATTATCGCTCCAAAAAATATTAAATGGGAACGTAATTTTGGTTTGGTATAAAGAATAAAATGAAATAGTTCAAGAGGATGAGTAAAGCCAATTTTCTCGTCATTGTAAGCAAAAATTTTACTCGTCATATTATTTCAGCTATACATACATATATCACATAATTTAAAATTTGAACTCTATATATAAATTATACTTATGATAAAAAAATCTGATTAAAGCACGCTACGTGTAAGTATATTTGTATGGTTTCTTAGTATCTACAATTTTTTAATCATGTATTATTTAGATAGGTAAAATTTAGATGATATTAACGATATTTATAATGTATATATAGGTATTTGTAATCTTAAGTTACAGATAAAAAAATCAAGTTATGGAAAAAATAAATATTTGTAAGATATGTAACATGTATAAGAGGTCAAGTCAAGTTCAAAATAAAGTTAATATTTTTAAACGGACTGTACCCACATTGTGTCTCGCTTTTGATGCTGACATATGTGACATATGTATAGAAAGCAACCCAACATTAACGTTAAAAGTATTTTGCGTAAGGTCAATGAGAAAATTCAAAAATCACTTTGTAATGTATGCTAGAAGCTTTATTTACCACCAGTTGCCATGGCTGTTACTGCGCCGTCCAAATGACGTCAGTGAAAAATGCACTACCGTAAGACAACAAAAATAAATTTCGAAAGCTTAATAAATATTTTTGATTTAAATAATAGTTTTTAGATTAGATTATTTCACCTCCAAATTGGCAGGACTTACACTTCCTATATGAAAGTAGAAAAATATTCATTATTTCTTGTTACACTGAAAGTACTTTCTTTAAAAATGAGCTTTGCAATAATTAAAAGGATAATTAGCGAAATCGCTTTCAACTAAAAATATGTTTCTAGCATCTGTATAGTAAGTACCTACATGCATTAGGAAGAATATATTTTATTCTTTTTTTTACATAACGAAGGATGAATTGTGAAAAGATTGCACAAATATAGTCATTTTTGGGACATACATTTAACTGTTATGACATACATCTTCTAAGCAATTAGTGTCACATTTGTTTTCACAGTACATAATCGGTACCCAATTTTAAGTTTAATTTATTAAATAAATGATACAACCTCATCAGCATAAACGAAATGTTTCTACATCACAAAAATGTACGTTATGTTTGAAAATTTGACTTTAAACATTTTTTTTCTTCTTCAAATAGTAATATGTTACGAAAGACATCTACGAATATATTTCTGAACAGATCAAAAACCGTTATTTTCCGGTATTTTTTTTATAGAAAACACCTAAAATAAAAGACCACTTGTAATCTCTTGAGGGCAGCCTGTTTTTCTGTTTCTTCAAAAACATTTTGATAATTATTTTGAATCTTTTAATTTAAAAGAAGAAAACCTCGTTCATATTTTAACAAAACGTAAGAAGAATTTTGCGCCAAACAATTGTAGTATTGACTACTTCATATTCTTCTATTGTAGTTCTGCATTACTAAATATTTATATTATTATAACGTTAAGGCTGTTACTACGATGGTGCGGACAAGAAACAATGAGTATTTCGGTTCAAGAATCAATGCTAAAATGGGGTCTCTCAGCGACTGTGTAAAAAATTTATTGATTTTCTATACTATAATATTTCATAAGTTTGTAATATGTACTGTTGAAAGAGAAAGGATCAAAGAAAGTTTATATGAGAGAAAAAAAAATTAAAGTAAAAATTTAGTATTAGTTTTAGATCAAAATTTTTACCAATGCTTGATCGTTATTTGAAAAAATACGAATATACATAAAGTTTGGTCCTTCCTCTTTTAAAAGATTGTAACATTCTCAAGAAGCAATGTGTTATAAAATAGCAACTAGTTTTTTTCCATAAGTACTACAAGCCATTATTTGACCATGGATTCTCATGGAAAAAAGCAATAAATCTCACAGTATGTTTTGAACATTTTCGGTAAATTTTCCATTATACAATTTCATAAGTTTACACATATTCTTTTATTTATGAAATCAAAAAACAAGCCTTTTGTCAGTAACCAATAATTTAGTAAGTTGACCAAATCTGACAAATTTATGTTAAAAAAACAGTGCGATGATTTTTCCAAAACTTGTTCGCATACCTACGTCATTTTTATAGCGAAGCGTCTAGGCGAGGAAATCCGCCTAATCTAAATCAAAATTGTAGACCACAAACGTAATATTCTCACCCTTGGTATATAAATACCCATTCATTTGATAAAACAGTCTGCAGGGCTTTTTTTCGTTTTACCGTTCGTCCGTTCAGTTTGAAGCTATTTTTACGGTCGATGAATCCGAGTGAAGTGACCGCTGCATCCCTAAATATCAAAATTCAGTTGGTGTGAAATTTCTTATAGCTAGGCGGTGCGGAGTGCCCCACACGCTTATCGAAGCGTTATTTACCTTATCATGGTGTATGCAGGACTTAACAGCAACGTCCTGATGTATTGGAAAATTGCTTCACATGAAGCTTTCGGAGCGTTATCGCCGATTATCGCTACTGCCTACACGCGAGTTTTTATTTACGTTTCGTAACAATGCAACACATTTTACGTTCAAATATTAAAATTAATCGTAAAAAAATTTGCATCAATGTTATCAGCGCGGGTAATAACTGAAAATATCGTTTGTAAATTGGCTATTCAAATGCACACACATGCCTAATTAGTGCGATGGTTTTAGACGGTGACGTTAACGGCGATCTCAGCGGAGACGACCAAAGCATCGCCAGCGAACGGCAAGGTGAGCAGAATGACGAAAACTCCATGGACTCGGACAGGGGTGGCGCCCTCAACTTGGTAAGTCTTCAGTAACATATTTTTCCTAATTTGACTTTGGTGGGTACTTTTCGCGTCACTGGTGACTGTATCGTGTAAATACAAAATTCTAATAGTGTAATTTTGACAAATTCGTCAGTCTTACGTCTGTCTAGTGATCCTTTTTTTAAACTGCAGGACTAATTAATATGAAATTTTAGCTGTCGTTTCTCCCTATCCAAAATTTAATGACGTCGTCTCAAAATTTTGCTAAATAATGTCGTTTCAAATTTATATTGTGACATGCTTCGTTATTACGTACCCACATTTTTGACTTTGCGCGTACGAGTTATCATAAAAAAATAAAATCTGAAAAATGAAATCTTACAATTTTGGCATTTTGGTAGAATACCGAGCTTTATCCAGTGGTTACAAATATTGACTCAAATGTATGTATTTATTTCCTTTAGAAATTGATGACGTCATCTCAAAAATTTATTAAATAAATGTTTGTTAAAATTTTGTTTATGTTTTAATATTTTATTTTTATTTTTTGGAATTAATTACACAGAATGGCTAAAAAATCATGAATACAGCAATTTCTTAGTGTTATTATTAGTCGGTGTTTATTACATTGTTCGTACTAAAATTTATACAGCTATCCCCACAAATAAATGATCTTACACAAAATTTTAATGCTATGTAATATTTCACTTTAAGCATTTAGCATGGTGTGATTTGATAATCCACCCAAAATATAGTCCCAACAAAATTAAATTTCTAAAATTAATCAAGCTTTTAATAAAATCCTAATACATAATTAACAGTAATTTATTTGGTGATTAATTTTAACAAAATCATATTTATTTCTAGTGTCCAAAAAATAATGCCTCATGCCTCATTTCCACTGCGTAAATTTCTCTAGAAATGTGTAAAATATCATTTTATTTAACTATGGCTTAGTAATCCACATATATTTCAAGCTTTACCTACGTAAACATATAAGTTCTACAAACATTCAGAACTGTACAATAAAATTTTACAATTTATCTTAGAAAGTACCTACCCAACGAATTCCTCTGAAACCTTGGTAACTTAGTAGGTCATACGAATAAACTTTAGTAAATACTTTCCTTTAATTTAAAAAAGCCAGAGATATATAAGGTAGGGCAAGTAGAATACCTCAAAAACCATTTATTGGAATTATCTTAAATTTTGTGTACACTGTCCAGAGTAAGATCTGTTAAATGCCTTTTTTTCCTTCTTTTCTTGGCTATTTTTTAAGATTCAGACTAAAAATATTCTTTAACAACACTGTGGGTATATTTCAGTGCCTACAGTTTGATTTTTTTTTTGTTCAGTCAAAAAAATCTGTCATAATGATTATTAACTAAAAACCAGCTAAGTTATAAGCAATCTAATAGGTGTTACTATATGGCAAATTCATTTTGCGCTAGCTCCTAGCTCCCCGTCAATCTGAAATTGGGCCCCAAAGCCGATAAAAGTGTTTATGAGTAAACAATTAATGTGACAAAATAAATAATTAAAATCAAACAATCGACATTAAAACAGAGAACAGTTTTTATTTTAAAACGGATGCTAACGGAACAGTAATGAAGTTGAATAAATATAAGTATTCTGGGGACGTCAAATTTTAGAAATGAATAACGTTTTGATTAGTGGTGTATACAACAAAATTAATTTAAGCTTCATGTTAATGTATATATGTTCTAGCGAAAGATGTTCTGAAAAAATGAATCTTTTTAATGAATTAGGCTATACTGTTTAAACTGTTTATATATTTTCTTTCGAATTTATTAATGGCTCCGTTGTGATGTAAATGAAAGAAAACAAAATATCCAAAACCGAGTATTTTATATCATTTATCATACATATCACAGATTTCTGTACATATGTTAACTACATATTGTTACATCACCAGTAATAATACTGCAAAAACGACAGCAGTACGCAGGATTAGATGGAGATTTTGCGAAGTCAACATAAACTGCCCCTTACAAACCAATAACATCGAAATATTAAAGTTTTCTTTAAATATTGACTCGGAACGAACTACACTTATAATTGACGATTTTTCCCCTGGGTTGTTTAGTAAACTGTTCTTTTTGAAAACATTTGTTCTCAACATATAAATCTGAAGTCGGCCGGTCCCAGACGAATAACACCCTTCAAAAAGTTAAATGTTTAAACTCTTCAGGGACGTTCTCCCCTACAATCGAATTTGATTCCATTTGTGTTTTTAAGCATTCACAACTCAATAATGATGGCAGTGGTTCATTCTGAAGGCAAGAAATGCATAGTTTCTGAATGCATCAACTTACGTCTCATTAAAATGCACAACGATGGCACAACCTCTAATTTTTCGCTGTATTTATTTGGGATGAATGTAATTAGCTGTTAAATTACCCGTAATAATTGCCTCAAGCTTACGACCATTTTCAGTGATGTACTACCTGAACTGAAATTCGCGCAGCAATAATTTTGCCTTTAATGTCTTCATTCTCCAAAATGTTCGTGTTGACAGGTGGTTTTGTGCCCGTGGTTTGGGAGTAATAACAATTAATAAATTAAATTATCGAATTGCAATTATACACAAAGAAAAAGTAGAAACTAATTTTTTAATTGATAAAATTTTGCTTAATGAAAGATTAATAATTTTTTATTATTAATGAACATATACTTACATGTAGAAATATTGTTCTGATATTATTTCTTGAAGAGAGCTTACGATTTAACTTGAGTTCATTAAAAAAAAACTCCCTTGCTGAAAATAATGATGTATGTATTTACTAACGGAAAATTCCAAAGTCACAAAATTTACATACTTAAAATTTAGAATTTATATAACAATAATAATTTGTAGCCTAAAAAGAAATATTTAAAAAGTATGAAAATACAAAATAAAAACTCTAAAAATTGTCTGCAAAATAAATAAAAATCGAGGTTTTACTTGTACAACTAAAGCACCGCTGCGAAATGTATCGTTAATAAAAATGTATTGCTTGAGTATTTCCTAAGTAAACTTCATAATAGGCTAATCAATCAATTAAACAAATATTTCAAAATTAGATAGCATTTGTTAAGATAAATAATTTACTTTTTCACTAAGTTTTCTGGAAATGTTTATGTCTAAAATGTTAAAATGGTTCGAAAATGTCACACAGATAGCCTGCAAATGGTTTTTTTTTTTAAATCAACTGCGTCTAACAACGTACATAGAAAAACAAAAAAGGGTAATCCGTAAATTTGTTTTCTTTTAATGTGTCCAACTTTATATGAAAAACCTTACTTTTTATGGTGGAATTTATCACCGATAATAAGAAACCTTTGGAACATACAAATTATGTATATTAAAGTAATCAGAGATCTCAAACAGATTTCCACGAATACTTAAATCGTCATCTGCTAATAATTTCATTAAAGCCACGAGAACAAACATTTCATATATGCGAAAAAAATTACAAAACCCACACTTTAATAATTAACAAATTCGTTTTCTTTCAGGTAACTAGTGAAGCTGAGCAACCTAGGTTATCATCACCTAACTCTCAAGTAACGAGTTCGAGTCCTGGCGTAGGGGCCGCTCTAGCCGCCCTAGGTGGTCTAGGGGGCCTCTTCGGAAACCACCTCCAGATGCTAGGAAGTCTCCAAGCTTTCCAAAATCCGCAAAATCTCCAACAGTTGCAGCAGTTGGCGATGTTACAACAGGCGAGCGGAAACCCGCAGGCGCAATTCTTTCTACAAAATCAGGTTGGTATTTTTCCCGTTTCCTAATAACACTACGATAAATATAAAATTAAATTTCGTCATGTACATTGAATATTGAAATACACCTTTCATTGCGAAACAGTTCTGATAACAGTTGCGAAATTTAAGATAAATTAATTTCGATGTATTATAATTTTGAAGGGATTTCTACAAGGATTCCCTAGGTCTGGTCTATCTTCAAGACCGCCACATTCGATGCAGGTGTGTGAATGTCGCCTGTTCTTGTCATGTATGCCTCTCATTACAAGCATGCACATTATTTCCCTTTTTTAACACGTTTATATAATTTTATTCGTAACGACGTGCAATTACGCAACCAGATTTCGTTTTCTAATGTGTTGTTTGCATGATTCCACTAGAATGATTTATGGATTTCATCACACGTGTTTTTATCTCGACGTTTCTTCTCAGGTGCAACAAATAGCTCAGGCAGCCCAACAACTCCAGCAGCTCCAAAAAGCGCAACAACAAAATTCCAGTCAACACAACACGAGTATCCCTTCCAATACGCAATTACCCCAAACGCAGACCACCCCACCGAACAACTCGCACATACCGGCCAGTTTACTCACCCCCAGCACGCCCAGTTCGGGCGGTCTAACCCCTCAGCATCTAAAAACGCCCTCCAGACTGCTAGAGCCGTCGCCCGAAGAAACGACGGACCTAGAAGAGCTCGAGCAATTTGCCAAAACATTCAAACAAAGAAGGATTAAATTAGGTAAGTCCGGAAGTGAATCGAGGTTTCAAATTTCTACTTCAAACTTATTCAAGGGTTTACTCAAGGCGACGTCGGCCTGGCGATGGGTAAACTTTACGGGAACGACTTCTCCCAAACGACGATATCGAGGTTCGAAGCTTTAAACTTGAGTTTTAAGAACATGTGCAAACTGAAACCGCTCTTGCAAAAGTGGCTGGAAGACGCCGACAGCACCCTCACCAATCCGGGGGCTCTCAGCAATCCCATGACCACGCCAGAGACCATCGGCAGGCGCCGGAAGAAGAGGACGTCCATAGAGACCAGCGTTCGAGTGGCTCTCGAAAAAGCGTTTCTTCAGAACCCCAAGCCAACGTCCGAAGAAATTTCCCTATTAGCGGATGGACTTTGCATGGAGAAAGAGGTAGTGCGGGTGTGGTTTTGCAATAGGCGGCAAAAGGAGAAGAGGATAAATCCTCCGACGGCCGCGTTGGGTTCTCCGTGCTCTGCCGGGAACCCGAACGGAGCCATGTTTGCCATAGCGAACTCGTTGGCGAACAGTCCCTTGTCGCTGGTGACGACCAGCGCCCATAATAACTTCAATCCAAATGTGATGGTGAAGCAGGAATGACCCCACGTCAATTTCTTCGCTGATCACTACATGGAATAGCTGATCGACGTGTTGTGCAATTGTGTAGTATCCTCTGTTAGGACCAACATAACTTTGTGTCGTGAAACAGACTTTGCCAAAGACGAAACAAGGAACATTCCCACTTGAAGATATCCTGTTTTTATACTGAAACTTCGTAAAGGCATCTCTCGTCAGTATTCTCGATATTCAATTATGTGTCATTGGATCTCGGTAAAAGTCATAATCATGCATGTCACACATATTTAAATATTTTGACCGTAGTGTTTACTTATTTATTGTATTAACTAATTAGTTTGAAGCACCTTTGTCGTCATCACATTACTAACAGTCTTCCAGTTGGATAACGAGTTCCTATAGGTAGGTTAGTCGAGTAAACACCACGAAAATTAAACGTCTTTCGACTGTTCAATATTAATTTATGCCAAAAATACTTATATCTATAATTAGAAATAGGTAGTTATCGTCTCCGTTTTATACAGTTTTATTTTTAATGTATAAATTGTTTATTGCTTTCGCTTATAATATCACTGTACATACAAGATCATATATTTTTCCACTCATTCAGGTCTAAGGCAAATCAAGAACCTGCTCGGCTCTTTTTCTGTTGAAAAACTGGGATGATTGGAGAAAACGTATAGTAACAATATAACTGTTAAAGCCTGACGGTTGACACTCATTGTTAAGCAGGGTCTCATAATTATATATTTGAATGGATGTCACCCGCCGGTTGTGTACAATTGTTGTAGATAGATATATGTTATACGGTAAATATACAAGTATTCTAGAATTTAGCTCTTTGTTTAGTAATTAGTGTATATGAATTTTATTAATCTACTCTTTATGTATGTCAATGTATATAATCGAATTTAGTGGTTCTTTTTTTATGTGAGGACCAATCTAGAAATGTTGAAAAGTTCCTACAATTGAAATTAAGCGATTGTTGATATTATTGATATATTGTTTGTACGCGTTATAATATCATCAACGATATAATTATTGTTTCTAACAATTTTTATTTTTTATTTTCTACGATCATTAGACTGACATACCCATATTTTGTTTTTAGACCTGACATCGTCAAACATTTTTATGAATAGGGTCCTTCCCCTTTTCATTTTGTATTATAATTTTTGCACACATATATTTACTTTTTAAGTTCTAACTTTTGGAACATGTTATTTACCAAATCTCAGGTGAACGCTTTACTATACTTAACATGTTCTAAAATGTGTTAGTTTTCATACAAGCAAAAATATTTACTTGTATAAAAATTAATTAATTTTATCGTATTTTTTCCTTGGTCGTACTTGTGGAAACCTAAATGTATAGTGGAAAGAAAAAAGAAAAATGTCCACAGACTTAGTTTTTTATATACTTATTGCACATATCGTACAAGAAGGTAGTTTTAATGTACAGTCATTTTACGCCTGTGGACATTTTCGAACAATCTTCGTCATATCAATGTGTAAATTTTAGCATTTATTCCCAGAAATTTAAACAAAATGTTATGAATTGTAAAAATAACTTACGATCTACAGTATCGGATGATTAAATGGCATTCCGTTTGAATACTTATAACATTCCATAGGCTTAGATCCAGTAGGTATATGTGTGTAGCATAAATGTCTTATAGAATTTGCAACCAGTATGAAAGACAACGGAAAATGCACGAAATTGCGGTTGCATTAAATTGAATTTATATTACAATGGACATTGTATGTTCTGGACATAAATTCAATTTTTAAAATTTGTAATAACCTAGTGAAACAATATCGAAAGTGTATAAGACCCTATTCTGACGTGTAATATACTATGGTGGTCTAGGCAATAACATGTACATTATTTTCATTAAAGAAAAGGATTCGTAATTTTTGTTTTCTTGCAAATTATTTACCTGACTGCTTTTTTTCTGCAAATAAAAAAATAGTAAACAAGTAAAAAACCAGCTTTTGCAAAATGTTGAAAATGCTCGGAACTGCAATGTCACATGAGTATTTTCAATTTCCCAACAAATAAACATTATGGAGTACAGAACCATATTGTGTTCAAAATAGAAAATTTCCCTAATATTAAGAGGACAGAGTGTTGTTGGTGAATTATCCACACAGATGTTTTTACGCTTGATGACAGGAAAGAGCTGAATTTTTATTAGACACAGAATTTAATCCCACGAAAAATATTTAAAATAGGTAGATATATTGTTTGTTTTACGGCATCTGACGTGCATCATAGCTCTTGTCATTTTAGGTGAATATGCATCAGAGCTGACGTTTAGGATTGTTGTATAATATCTCAGCAAACTCAATTGTCGCAAAATATATTTAATTAAAAAATAAATCAAAATCATCAGCTAAATTATTACAACAACATATACCATAATGGTTTCTATTTTTTGTGTTTGCTTCTTTTATACCGTTTGTCTACTATATTGCAGAGAGTAATCGTTTATTTTAATCTCTTTTTAGTTAAGCAAAGTAATCCACAGCATTAACAACCAAAGGAATAAATAATCCCATCTTATAATAAACTCATTTGACTTGTACGTACTATTCCGGTTCCGGACACCTAACCTTACTGCTTATTTGAAGGCTGTCAGGAGTGTCATGTAAAAACAATGATATTTTTTTTGCTGTTTTGTTAATTTACCAGTAATTTGCACAAATTACAAGAGTTCTTTTCATGAAATCGGGCATAAACATCCATTCTTTGCAATCATGAACACACGAGTAAGGGTTCTATTCTTGGATTTACACCCACCACAGTTTTCAAACTTATATACCTTGCTTTACCAACCCCTTCAGCTTTTATTTTGATTGTCTTTATTAATGGTTTTAGATAAATGTGTTTTATTTTTTATATTGTCGCAATGACTAACGAAATTCTTGCACCCATTTGCAAGTTTAATAAAATAACCATATTTTTTTAGTTGTATCTGATTTAACTAAAATGATTTTAACATAACGTTGATTTAAAAGCAAAAAGTAGAAAATGATAACAATTTAAATATTTTAATAAATTAAATGAAGAAGTCTTGAAACCAGTGGCGGCTCGTCAGGGGGGGCCAGTTAGGCCAGGCCGAGTCTGTCACCGAACTTGTCAATTTGCGATATTCATTTTTATTTTAAACGCAAGAATATAATTTAAAGCTATTTTGAAATCACCTGATTTTACTGTTGTTATTATTTTTTTAATTACAAAAAGCGTTATCTAATTTATTCACTTTCGTTCGGAAGCACAAATCGTGCCGGGAAGTTTAAATATTTTTACTGCGAGGAGCAGCAGCTGAGGCCGGCCGACTACAAGAATAAACGTCGAATAATGTCATATCTGCTATCGCTCTCTGTTTAGCGGAATTAAAGAGAAATAGCTATAAAGACTGATACGTGTCTGATACCCTCTGATTAACGCGCCTGCAGCAGTGATTGGTCAAGTCAAATGTCTGCTAAAATCGGCCGGCCTTTTGGCAGTACATCAAGTTGTTATAGCGCTATCACCTTCTGTTTGTATAAGTTAGAAGGCAATAGCGATGAAACCGTACAATATTACGTTTCATCGCTCCACTTCTGCCGTGCACTTTTCCATGCGGTTCCCCACTACCAGCACCGGCCGGCCGCTGTCTGTATATTGTGAATTTCTGCAGTCTTCACGTGGATGAAATTGGTTTAGGTTTGTTTCTAATTTCAGTAACAATGACAACAGTTAGTAAGAGAATTAGTAACTGATTTAAATTTTGATGCTGTTACACATCTATTAAATAATGACTTTCGACTTTTAACATACGATGATCAATTCCTGGGATATAAAAGAAATGACCCGTTCGGAGCCGCGCATGCAACATTTAATCGAAGCACGGAGCAATAATAACGTCAGCTCCGGTGCAATAGCATATTAATAATTAATAATTAATACAGCATGGTATGAAAATTATGAATGGCTGACGGGGAGCAAGTCAAAAAACAAACTATTTTGTTGATATTGTTTAATTTTTGAATATGATGTTGACAATAAATTCAAAAAAACTTCAGAAAAAGAGTTTTGCCTCTGGTCGTCTGGTACGATTGACATATTGAGTTACCGTGCTCTTTTGCCATCTTCCTAATTTCTCAACCCTGCTCCTGATGATGCTACTTACGAAAATGTAGAAGCCTCCGAAATTATTTCTGTCTTTAATTTTAATCATATACCTACCATCCACATCAGCATATGTTGAACGCAGTTTTTCAGCTTTAAAGCGAATTACAAATTTTACTAGAAACTCCATTAGTCAAAATCGATTATCCAAATTATTCGTTTTAGCAATAGAAAAAGAAGTGCTTACAAACTTAACGGCAGATCAAAAGTTCTATAATCAAGTAATTGACCACTTTGCCAATACAAAACAAAGACGCATTGAATTGGTTTATAAAAATTTCTAATTTACTTTTTTAATTTTGTTTTTTACTAATAAATAGTTGTTGACGTTTCATGTTATATTTTTTGTTAGAATGTGTTACTTTATAACTTGAATGTTATTTTCATTTTTATTTGAGTTTATTGTCGTTATTTTATTATTATAGATGGCTTATATTGTATAAGTATATGCTTTACTTTATACCTATTTGAAGAATATTTTTTATTTTGTTTTACCAAGTTGTTAGGACTATATGAATTAACACCATACAGGAAGCAAATTATAGATAATGACTGACCTGAGGTCCCTGGTTCTTGTATTCTATGTCTTAAAACTTTGGGTTACTCACTGCTGGCCGACCCAACCAAAATAGTCACGAGCCGCCACTGCTTGAAACAGATTAAATTAAAACAAAATTAAACAATTAATATTTTTTTATAGATCCATTTAACTGTATAACTTGTGCAGAATTACCCTAGGGCTGTCCACCGTAATCCACGCCCACATATTAACAGAAAAAGGTCCGGTACGTTTGAAGCAATCAACGTAACTTTCATTGTATCTCGTCTTCCTTGGTCTATAGACCCAAAGACGACCACTGGGGCATGACTGAAAAATTTTTTCGTCGGAAACTACCACTCAGGTCCAAAACCTAGATGTTCTAACGCGAAACCAATTCTTGCTTCCATATGATAAGGTCTAAGAATAGTTATTATTATTATTATTATACAATAAGAATGGAGTAGTGGCAAAGCCTGTGATGCTCTCCTAATACCATGTCCTAGTACAATTTGTGTGAAAATAATAATCATATACAAATAATACCTAGGTAAGTTACTAAATGAAATGTACAAAGCAAAATTAATTACTAATGAACTTAAAAGAAAAAAAAGTATACATCAAACGTATAGTTGGAACAAAATTAATTATAATTACATTTAGGTTAGACCATGATACAAGTAAATATGGTATGGACATCCCATGAACCAAAACTCGTCTTCTTCTGCGCAACGTTATCTGACGTCATGTGGAATGAATGACCTTCCACTGCTGTGTTGACATCTGATGTCAAATATCAATTTTAAGGGTTATGAGGCAGTTATGAGTTTTTGTGGTTATGAGGGTTATTGTTTATTGTTACCAAACTGATGCGTAAAAACAAATTGGTGGTTTGCTAGCGACCTAGCGTTGTTAAAAAAATAGCGGGGATGATAGCAAATAATAAGAAAATATGTATATTTCAGCCGAAGATACTCTGCAGAATAAAAATTGTGAAACATTGCAAATTGTTTTTACACTGATTGTGAATAGTAATAATAATTGTACAAAGAATCTCGTACATTTGGTAAGTACAAACCAATAATTTAATACACAACTATTAACCAGTATGGCGATCCTGTTACTGTCATTTGGCCGTCAATTGCCTTGGTGGTAACACGTCTTCCACGACTGTTTGCTGGTTACCGGTGACACTTTCTCGTTGAATAGGGCTGGAGTTACTTTGGGACTGGAATAGTGTTCTTTCCGGTCCGTTAACTCAATAATTCTAGTACAGTCTGTCGTAACCTCAAATCGTAAACACATCAACCTTTCGTTGACAGATAGCGAAAATTACTAGCCTCGCGCTATCTTTGTTTAACACATAGGTTAGGTTCCTCTCTGTCGAATTCCGACCACAGGCAGTTTGCCGTATTTTCTAAAAGTAATAGTAGATCTAGTGACTTTAGTTGGGCTCGGTAAATATTTCAATTTCCCGCCTGAATACAGCCAGGTGACGTCAGCAAACCTGCGTATGTCCATACCATATTTACTTGTATCATGGGTTAGACTATGTCTAAACCAATTTCAAGTATTGAGTCTAATATGTTCTTAAAACTGTTAATAGAGGGAGCAGATATTATTTCTAGAGCCAATGAGTTCCAGGAATCGAAGATTTTATTTGTAAAGAAGGATTGACGTTGTTTGGTCCTGAACCTTTCTTTCGCCAGTTTTAAGGGGCGTCCACGTAGTCGGTTATCTTGATTTAACACAAAAAGATTTTGCATCTTCTGGTCAAAGAAACCATTTAGAGCTTTATAGGCGAAAATCATGTGATAACCCAAACTTCCCGCCTTTAAATTGACCTTGAAAAAGTTTGAAGGGCCCCCGAAAAATTCAAAAATTCAACATTTGGCCTTGGCTATGATCGTCTAACAAATGGGAACCTACGTTGTGTGTCTTTTTTTTGAAAATTGGCTGGAAGACGTTTTTTCATGCAAGTGCATACACTGCGTGTGATTCGAGAGCGCAAGAAATAATAGACAAAATTGTTTTGGAGGGGGAACACGGCACCCCCTCGGAGGAGGAAAGAAGCTGCGAAGATTTACTCCTCAGCGCAAAAACCCCCTTGTTATTATTCACGGATATATTACATTTCAAACACCTTAAGATATATGAAAAAAGGACACTCGCGAATTGACAGACATACACATATGAAAA